GATGTGGCTTATGTATCAATTAAGTTTAGACTATAGTATCCTATTTAGATGGGAGAATAATGCTTTGGATGCCATTTATAGAGATGAGATTTTGTTTAGAAATAGACAACTGATGTCATATGGAAACTGGATTTTTCTTTTCCTTGGTGGAGAGCCAAAGAGCGCTTACATCAGTGTGATGGCTGTATTTAGGGTTAGGTTTCTGATTTATTTTTTTTAAACTATGTGTTTGAGGCTGTAACTTGATTAGCAAATGAACCAATACTAACATTGTGTTTTAGACATGCTGTTCGCACAGTGATTTTTTTTTTTAACTGATTTTTTTCCCCATTCTAGATATTGTGGCATTATCTTCTTCGGTGCATCTTTGTATTTGTTAAAGTGTTAGTGGCAAGAGGTTTGGATTGGATCAGGCTTTTCGAGTCTGGTGAAAGCCAAACTGCCTGACGAAATACCTACTTGCCAATAAGCTTCCAGTTTAACAGCAGTTCCTCAGCAGTAGCTATTGGCTTGTGAGGTTCCCCCTCCAACATCTCCTTGCCCCTCCATTTCCTGCAATTTTGTCTTTCTCCTGCTGTGTGAGGAAGGATCTTTTGCGTTGCTTGTTTATCTCCATAGACTCAATTTCTTCTGCAAGACAGTGTTATTCTTGGAGTACCTTGCTCTTCTTGACTTACCTTTTAACCTTTATGGACACTGATTATGCTGATGCACTTTGTTAGAGAATGAGGTTGTTTTAAGTCTGGTTGAATTCACCTTTCAGTGGCTCTGAACAAGTTGTGTTCCCATGTTTTAAACGTTGTGGTTTTCAGTTCCCAAGTGCAGTTTAATGATGTATCTCCAGCTGAGAAGTGCTATTTAAAATAGCAAATAAGAGACTAAAGTTGGGGAGAAAGGTTTCATGTAGTGCCAAAAACTCTTTAATAATTGTTCTCAAAGCTAAATTTCATTTGTTCAACAGATGTTTTGAAAAATCAACTTGTGTATGTGAATGCATTTTTAGCATATGACACGTATGCTTTATTCTTGCCGTTACTGAAATCGTAAATTAGTGTGGGCTATGCTGGCTGGATAATCAAAAGTAGAAACACTGTGTGCTCTCTTGGCTTTCAAGAAAAGCAGTAATAATGTTGTGTTAATTTCTTCTGTCTTCTTAAAAATCTAGTATTAAAAATTGTGGGATAAATTTTACTTTAGGAAGATGGGCTTCATTTTTTATGAATGTTACCAGTTCAGCTTTCATTGTGCAGGGTATGTTTCTGCCAGTAAGGAGTAAACAGCTTTTGTCATGGTTTCTCTCCCTACTGCTGAAAATTTTCTGTGGGCATTTACATAGCATTGAGAATGCTTGTTGCCAGTCCCCCCATCCTGCCCCACTGCCTGCCCTCCATTCTCCTGATTGCCAGGTGTTCCTTAGTGCATATTTCTGTATCTCTTTGTGTTTATTGATATATTTATATGTCTACTTCTTCACTTAACCATTTTAGCACAAGCACATTTCTAAATAGCGCTTTTTTACACTAAGTAAGAAAAGTTTAAAAAATAGTTTAGAAGATGTTTAGTTTAAGGTAGTTTAAAAAGTAAAATTGTGTGAGAGACTTGTATACACAAGTTACATTAAAGCTGTTAATGACTCTTTAGGAAAAGATATTTTATGTAGTACAACAAAATATTTCTTTTAAATTTGTTCTTTAAACCTACTGCAGCAAAAGTTGAAAAACTGTAAAATGCAAATATTAGATAACAATGCTAATAGATGGAGAAACAATTTATTCAAGTAATACAATAATTATTAAAAAAACATTACTTTGCAAATACGTATAGGTGAGTGATTATATCCTGGCCACTGATACTTTTACTAGTAAAATTGGAATTACCTAAAACCTAATCCAAATACAAGCTTTAGTTTCAAAAAAAAAAAAAAAAAAAAAATTGGACGTGATGCTGTGAAAAAGTTAATATGTCAAAATTATATGTTGAAAACCACGCAAAAGACCAACAGCTCCGAGTTCTGTTCTGAGCATTCATGATATATATTTTTCTGTTTATGTAATAAAAACAGAGGGGTTTTACCAGTTTCAGAAAATCTTTTGGTTTAAAACCTTTATTTTCACTTTCTCATTCCTCGTTTTTAATGTTTCTTTTTTTTTTTTTTTTTTCTTTTTTTTTTTTTTTTTTTTTTTTTTTTTTTTTTTTTTTTTTTTTTGAAACTTGTGATTAATTAAAGTTATTTAGAAAGCTTGTATGAAAGGCATTGGAAATGTAGCTTCAGTATCACCATAATTATTTTATTTGCTGCAGATTTGTTTGTAGTGTGTTTATTGTAATACATTGTCTGTTGCAGTTTTCAATGCCTGTCACAGTTTACAATGTTTTCTTCTAGTTTTTTGTAGAGATTTAAATTAAGAACTAGGGAAGACTATTGTGACTATTGTGCAATGAGCTTCAGGAGAAAAATAAAAGTACTTTTTAATAAACTTGGCTGTCTGTTGCTTTGAGGATAAAGTGCTACGCTGTGTAATTTTGAACAGGTGAAACCTGGCTACCTGGAAACCCGGTCTTGGCACGTTTTCCAAAATGATACAGGTTAGAGCCTTGTATAGACTAAGGATGGGTGGACTTCAGATCCTAGTTCAGTGTGTTTTTTTGAAATTTTACTCTTCTGTGTTCCACCAAAATTTGTCTTTCTGTGCAGCAGACCAAAATAAAATACATACTGTTGCATCAATTTGACCCCTTCTAGCGTTGTCACCTGAAGATACTGCTAGCTGAATTTTAACCATTTCCAATGTTATTGGTGTTTTATCTGCTCTAGTAAGTTGAAAAAGACTTAGAAAGTGTTCTGCAATGCAAGAAGTTTTTAAAAAGCTCAGTCCTCTATTTTTATTTTTTTTAATAGGGGGAAGGGGGTTCAGGGGGGAGTGAAAAGATGACCTGCCTCTAAAGCATACTATTTTGAACTAAGAGAATATATTGACTTTTAGATTTAGCTAAATCTAAAGATAGATACCTGAAATGGAAGGTAGAAACATTCAGATTAGAATAAAGAGGTTTAACTGTTAGGAAAAGATATAGGGGAGTGATAGAAACAGTTCCTGATGTATAGATTTATAATTTTTCCATCAGTTCCTTTCATGGAATTATGGAGAATAACCTTATTCTTGAAAAAGTAAAAATTATGTTCATAGATTTGGTCAGAGACCCTGAGTTTGCCAGTTTTCCTGATATCATTGAAAAGGTGGTTAAATGTTGTACCTGGTTTGGCTTTTCAAATCCAAATCTGGAGTGTGGATGCTCTTGACTTGTGAGAATCAGAGTCCATATCATTCTGTGTTTTTAATCTTGAGTAAGCTGGTTTGATTTAGGCAGACTGAGTTAGGAACTTGAATTCTTGATTATGATTTAGGTATACCCTTAGCAAAACTTTCTGTGCTCGAATCTGTCATAAATGAATGCAGTATTTTTGTGCAGGGAATTGGATTAGGTGTAAATGACTTTCCTGGCATAAATTCAGAATTATATTCTGTAGTAACAACAGGTGAGTTAAAAATTAGGACTTTTTTATTTTCTTCCCTCTGGAAATTGCAGCCATTGACTTTCTTATGAAGATGAGGCTTTTGGAGGATTTAAATACTTCCTATTGATTCATCTCCCCCCCCCGTTTCTACCTTTTTAGTGAGTAAATAAAAGTAGTCTTGTTCATTTAATATTTTTTTTTTTTTCAATCCTTTTTGGCATAAGCCCTCAACCCGTGAATTTGAACCCTAATAATCACAAATACTTCTCTACTAGTCACAATATGTGTGTTTTTTTGGAAATACAGATAGCTATTGAACTGGTCTTCTAACATGAAATCAGAAGTAGAATAGCTTACATGCTGACTTGCGTGTTTTATAGCCAGAAGTAGAAGAAAGAAAGTCATAACACTCACTCCTCTCATATCTAAATGCATTCTGATTTCCGGCATCGATTATTTCATTAATATCCGTATATCTTCAGACAGTGTCGTTCTTTAGCTTTTGACTCTTTCTGATGTTTCCTCCACTGACATGTTTGTAGGCAGCAGTTATATTACCTTTTAACCAAAGTAAAAGTTTTTACTGTTTAACCAAAGTTGTGTGGCCTTCTTTCCAAAGCCAGACTTCTTCCATCCATCTGGCTAGCCGTTTATTGTATATGTTCAAGAAAAAGGAACTCAAGCTGGAATTTTCCTGGAATTCTGTACAGGAACTTGGGACAGTATTTTGAATAGTATCTTTCCGGTGCTCTGTACAATGATGTTAATGCATCTCTGCTTCTGCTAGGAAAATCTTGTGTGGCTTTTCCCCTGCTCCCATCTGTACTGGCTGCATCATGTAGTAGTTGGTTTTTCCTTTTCTTATGGATGAGCTCATGCTTCATAATGGACACTTTTGTACTTGGTCCTTAAATTCTGACATTGTGGATTTCATCAGACTTTTGTGACGTCAGTTCTCTCTTTCTCCAGTGTGATCCTTCTCAACAGTAGTAATGCTTCCTGTCTTGCTTTGATATTTTTCTTGTCTGGTTTCTTAGTGCAAACAATCCTCAAAACTTTCCCTTAGCAGCTCTTCTAGTAATATTTACCACCATTTTTCTCCTTTCAGAAAAATTCTGGGTAACGCCTAGTTGGTTTTTTATGTACTTTAGAGTTCTTACATGAGCCCTTCTGAGTCATAATTAATATTCTTACATGGTATTATATGAGATACTTCACTGAAAGTGAGATGAAAAGGATTTGCTGTGGTTTTTATCTTGTTTAGAAAATGAATTATCACAGAGGGCTATTGACTCTTGAACAGTTCACCTTTTATGAAACTATGTAACATTGCTCTTCAGAATTTGTTCTGGACCCTTGAGTTTTATTTAGATCAAACCAAGAGATGACTTAAATTATCTCATTTATAATTAAAAGCATTTTTAAAATAAAGCACTAATAATATCAGTAAACTTTTCAAATAGAGTCTGAATATGTCTTTCAGCCAATGGTAATGACAACAAGAAATTCAAAGGTGACGATAAAATGGATGGAGCTCCTTCTCGTGTTCTTCATATCAGGAAATTGCCTGGGGAAGTGACAGAAACAGAAGTAATTGCTTTAGGTTTACCTTTTGGTAAGGTAACCAACATCCTGATGCTGAAAGGGAAAAATCAGGTAATTTGTTGCTTTCCATTTTCCAGTATGCTTACTCTCTGCTTTCAGAATATGCTGTTAAAATGCTATTGAACTAAGCCATGTAAGTATTTTATTTTTTAAAAAAGCGCCTTTGTTCCTTTAATTTTTTAAATGAATTTATACTGCCTTTTAGTAATTTTTTTGGGAGGGAACTGGGATGGTTGGCAGCTACATAAGCCGAAGAGTTAGCTGTAGGATGAATACTTAGTCCTGTTCTTCACCGATACATTTTTGGAGATGAAGTAGTTTAGCGAATAAAGTTGATATGTAGAGAATGACATCTTCTGAAGACTGATACTTGTTAAAATGTGTTATCAAACCCTTTAAGTATTTTTTTGTATGCTGCTAATATGAAGATTATCTGCTTTGTAAGTACTGAAAATTAACCATTTAATTACAGGCATTTTTGGAACTTGCTACAGAAGAAGCAGCTATCACTATGGTTAATTACTACTCTGCTGTGACGCCTCATCTTCGTAACCAACCGATCTATATCCAGTATTCCAATCACAAAGAACTAAAGACTGATAACACACTTAACCAGGTATATTTACTGTTATGTAGTATTACAAATGCATACAGTAGGAGATGAGGCATGTCATGTATTCATGGGTCATCGGGCATATGTTTAAATCATTTGATTTTGTCCACGTTCTAACACTACTGTACTACCTATGATCATTCCATTTTGTGACATTGAAGGAAATTTGCTTTCTGTGTGAGCTTAATGTTAAAAGAAGAAAAATATGAAGTATCTTTTAACTTAAAATTTTTCCATAAAATAAATTTTTGTCTCTTTAGAGACTGTAGGATGAAAAAAATAACTTTCTAATTCTGACACCTGAGATTTTATTGCCAATTTGAGTTTTGATAGCGATAATGACTAATGCAAATGACTACATTTCAGTGCTTTGAATGGTCACTCTGGTAGCACTGGTAACCTCATTTTGTCATCTGCTTTTAGAACCATAGAATGGTTTGGGTTGGGAGGGACCTTTAAAGGCCATCTAGCTCAACCCCCCTGCAATAAGCAGTGGCATCTTCAACTAGATCAGGTTCCTGGAGAAGGATGCCTTAATGATCACTGTAGAGACAAATGTATTTAATAGCAAAAAAATATTTTCCTCTTGCTGCTGCAGAACCTATTTCACAATAAATATAGATGTCTGTTTTTAGAAGAACTGGAAAATTAGCAAAAGTACGTGGGGACCATTTCACACAAGTTACAGGGTGAGAAACAGACATCAATTTACCTCAAATCAGATGATTGTTTTAAGGTTAATTTCTTATGTTTTCTTTTTGATGTTACAAAAGGCAGTGTAAATACCAAGTTACAGTTTCTGTTACTTGTGTCCTGTTTCAGGTAAGGTATGTAAATAGTAAAATTATAGCTGTTACCTTTAAAAACAATTTCAGGGTAATCTGTTGAAAGGCATCTTGGTTCAGATCAAGTATAGTGTTGATTTTCCTGGTGATCTTTCTGAACATTCACTTCCTTAGAATCTTTTGATAGTTTGTCTGTTGAAGGTACTTTTTAAAAATTGAGATTTCTTTTTTCCCAAAAAATGTCAGTTATAAAGAAAAATACCTTAATTTATTTAGGAACAAAGAGAATAGAGGCTGAATTCTGTCTGCACATATGGTGGATGGACATGCTGCCTTAAGAAGCGTTCTCTTACATTGTCCTCTGGCTTTTGTGGTGATACTGTTTTTGGACTTTACATGTCCATCTTTTCAACAAAGATGGCAAGCTGACTTTTCAGCAGCTGTTATGCCACCATACTCATTAATACCCAGTTTTGTTATATTCCCAGTCTCTCAGGTTTTTATTTCTTTAATTGAGAACTAAATAATATAAGTAGGTACTTGGCAGTAAGTATTGTGTAACTCTTCTCTCATGAGATATTCTATAAAACACAAGGTGGTTTTCTGTAAGGAAAATTAAGAGGCTGCAGATATTGCTTGTAGTCCGCTTTTTTTTAATACTCAAAATTTAAATTTTTAATCTGTATTTAAAAACTTTCTCATCCAACCACATTATTTTGAAATTGTCTTTTTCTGGATGTTCAGGCAGGAAGATATGAAGAAGTCAGGGTGTTAGTACATGTAACTGGAAAGATAGGATAAAAAACTGGAGAAAGGTGGAAGTATCTTAGTTATAAATAAGATAGGATAAAAAATTATTTAACCAAGGGGTACTTTAAACAGTCAGGCCTCTAGAAATAATGAAAGCAGGAGAAGTTCCACTAAGCTATGCTATTCTGAATTTCTCAGTAATAGGAGCTTGCAAGATTATTTTTAGTTAAGTACGCAGAATGAGTTGTCTCTGAATAAGCAGATTCAAAAGGGACCAGTTAAGTTTTCATCTGAGCTTTATAATTCTATGAAAATCCTTTTCCTGTGAGACATGAAAACACTGTAAGAAGAGCATTTAAACTCACATTTAAAACAAACATCTCTTTACTTCAAACCATACCTAGATTCAGGAGAATTGAGAATGGAATGACTTCTGTTACTGTAATTCTCTTCAATCATCAGCCTGTCATAAATGCATGCTTTTAGTCTTTCTGCACAAACATTGCAACATTTACAAATAAATAAATGTTATACTTTATGAATAGTGTACCTGATCTTTTATAATTCATTTCAATTTTGCAAAAAATTAGAAATGAGCTTTACATAATATTCAAAAGTCTTCAAAAGTAGTTATTTATATAAGATACTAATTGTTATTTTGAACTTGTTTGACAAAATACTGTCAAAATAATTATTTGCCAATGTTAAGTCCTGTGTTCCTTCATATATTCACAATAAATTTCATGAAATAAAATATGACATATAAGCATAGATGTATAGTGCTAATAAGGGTCATATGTTAAAATTGACTTTGGATCTTTGAGTTATACAGTCCAAACTTTTCTTGTCACTTCAAGGAGTGAGTTTTAATTGATAGGTGCTGCTTCTGTGCTTACAGAAGGGTTAAGAAGTAATTATGCAACTCCACCAAATATCTGGCCAACTTGAAGTTGTGTATTTCATACACTAGGGAAAAAAAGAACATGTCATCAATAGATGTTTTTACAGAGTTACAGTAATTATTGTTAAATGTAGAGGTCAATTTTGTTTTCCCAACTAGTGTTCACCAGGTCTTTTTTTTTTTTCTCCCCCCTCACTTTCCTTACTCATTGATTCATTTCAGTATGAGGAGTATCATGTAAGTTGTGAGACATGAAATTGTGTAGTAGCTCTTAATACCTTTTAAAATATGCAGTATGCATTAATATGGTGGTAATTATTATTTTTACCTGGCATGCTCACTTGTCTGTTTTGTATCGTTTTGTTTCATAAGGCTACTGTAATGAAAGTATTAAATGGAAATTGTTTTTTCTGCACTTTTTCTTTCTCAGAAAAAGACATCTAATCTTTCTGATACTGTCAGTTTTGGCAGTCGAAGTAGTTACATAGATGTATGTTTTTGTGATCTCATCATGTGGTTACCTTTGAATTTCTAAAACCCTGCTTGTGTTTAAAAACCAAAAAATTCCCACACATGGAGAGGATTTTGTTTTTCTTTTTATGAAAGAGGGTGGATAACAAACACCAGTTTCTTTACCTCGCTGTGGATAATATGTTCTGACACTTGGCAGTCTTGTGTATTATTTCATTGTGTTAAAACTGAGAAGTTTGGAAGTGTTAGTTTAGCATTGTCCCTTCCTACCAGAGCCTTCTACATAATTAAAATGGCAGTGAAATGTTAACTGTAATACAGTCTCTTCAAAAATAGGGTAAATACTTCTGGTTTCTGTAGGCTTGGGTTTTTTTGTTGTTTGGTTTTAGTTTTTTGGGGTGTCTTTTGTTTGTTTGTTTTTTCTTGAAAGAAAAAAAAGTCTGTAAAGAGTCTTGAAACCTACAAAATCCTCATTTTATCCTTACTAGTAGAACCATAAGCTTGCTACTAGGAAGACACATTGGTGCCATTTGAAGCACCTTCTTACTGTGACATAAGGATTAATTGATGTTTTCATTTTTATTGTCTCTTCTCACAGAGTTGGACTGCATTGCACTACGTTGTGTTATGTCTGTAGTTCTGAGTTTTAAAAAGTGGGCTATTTCATGTTTCTGAAGTTAACTGTATTAATATTGCTAATTAATGTCTAGCTATCATATTGAAATACAAAAAATGTCTTATTTTTCTTTTTTTTTCTTTTTCTTTTTTTTTTTTTTTAAGCGGGCCCAAGCTGTTCTTCAGGCAGTGACAGCTGTGCAGGCAACAAATGCTCCCATTAGTGGGACCACTGTTAGTGAGAGTGCAGTGACTCCAGCTCAGAGTCCAGTACTTAGAATAATTATTGACAATATGTACTATCCAGTAACCCTGGATGTTCTTCACCAGGTAAGCCCAATTTCATTTTAACTTGAGCTATGATTGGGAGGAACTAGTGTGTAAAACTTTACAATGTTTTTGGCAGATATTCTCTAAATTTGGTGCTGTATTGAAGATAATCACATTCACAAAGAATAACCAGTTTCAAGCTTTACTGCAGTTTGGCGATCCAGTAAATGCACAGCAAGCAAAACTAGTAAGTATGGTTCTTTTTTTTACGGCTGGAGACCTTCCTGTGCTCTACAAGTTTACAAAATGTTAATATAACAGAGTACTGACCCATAAGAATGTGTCATACCCCTCCACTACAGGTGCAAATTTTTTGAGATTAAAAAAATAACTGAGAGTTATTATATAATGTTGTTACACTGCATAAAATCGGTATTAAAAGATACAATGTTTAAGGATACTATGTCTAAAGAATTGTGTACATCTATAATTATGAGCAGATATTTTAATAAGACTGCATAGAGCTGAAATAATATGCAAGACTGCAGTAGTGAAAATGTCCAACAAAAGCGAAGATGTAGGATGTAATGTTGATGCATAATTAATTCACTGTAAGCAAATTTGGATTATTGTTGGTGGATACTTTCTAAGCATCAAAACAAAGATGTGATTTGTGGATTGAATATAGATTTGTGAAAGTATTATAGTATCCTAAAAAAAAAATCTAGACTTCATTATAACCATAAATGCCCAGAAGAGAGAGTGCAGTCTTGCTCATAGGACCAGACTATGAAGAAGCTTTGCAGCAGTGATAGATGAGAGCAGGATCTTAGTTTTGTTTTATTGGAAACTCTCCTGTCCTGGGTAGGAGAAGCAAGAACAGGTAACAGGTTTTATTCATTATAGCAGGAGAGTGCCTATGTGGATAAACTATGACAAAGATCACCAGCATGTCATCTAGACCAGATGTTTTGAATTAATTGAATGGCATATGTTCACATCTGTGGCAACAGGAATGTTGAACCAAAGGGGAACGCTAGAGTTTTAAATTTTATTTATTTATTCCCACAAGAGAATAGATGGGATGAATTTTTATTTTGAAACCTTCACGTGCACTCCGGGTTTGTGGAAGGCTGATTAAAACTGATGTGCTGGTTAAGTGTTCCCTGGCATCATGGAAAGTACTTATCGCCCATAGATGACAGAATAGCTGAGAACTTCAGGAAAAAGTGAAAAGCTCGCACCTCAGACTAAGTTGTCAATTAATATCTCTTAGTAGAGGAAATAAAAAGTAGACTTAGTTTTCTGTTGTAAAGAATGATGACTATATTGAAATAAAGACCTTCATTAAATGATGGAGGATGGTAATTTTTATCCTTGTCACCAGATGAAATACTGGATATTGATTAAAAAACTGTAAGATGATCAAGACAGGGAATCACAAAAAATAAGATAAGTTTTCAAAAGCAGAGTGTGAGTTTTCATGCTATTGAGAAAAATAAAGTTAGTCAGAGACAAGAAGATTTGCAACTTGCTTTATGATGATACTTTAAAATAATCTACTCCTGAAATGCAGTCTGGAAATATTTGGAGTACAATTAAAATTAGGTATCCTTCTTGGAGATTAATAATATCAAATACTAGGTTGTGTCTTGGAGTAGAAGAAGATACAAATATGTCACAGTAATATGTAAAAAAATTCTTGGATGGGATACAACTTTCAGGTTTTAATTAGGTTTAAAACACTAATACAGAAACTGTATCTTAAACCTACAATTGCTGCAGAAATCGACTGTAGTCATTTAGATTTGTGTTTGAAGTATTTGTTAAACGGTTGGGTGCTAATGTGTTTTTTGCAGAATTTTGTAATTCAGTCTTGATTCGTGTTTGGAAAGTTACTTTTCGGTAATAATTGTTAATACTGCTTTTAAAGTACATTTTTGAAACAAAGTGTGACATCAAGTGATAAATCTTTTGACTTCGTTTTTTGAGTCTTACATATATTATAAGAAGATTTAATGGAAAGATGACGTCTGTGAAATGGACTGTAATGATTTGAAAATTTTCAGTGTAATTCTAGGAATATGTTATAAAAAGTGACAAAATAACAAAAGGATGAGGTATGTAAAGGTATGGAAGGAACTTAAGAATCTCTTGCTGCTATTGATGCTAGCTTGTGGGATACTGTATTGGTCATATTTTAAAAGAAAGCAAACAAAAAACGCAAAGAAGGCATGTATTTGTTTCTCAGTTTTGCATGTTTGGATTAGGGTAGCGGTTCACTAGTGGTAGCTCATGTGTGAATGATTAAACTTCATTGAATAACAGTGACTCCTGCATGTACAGTCATTGCCAGAGTGATCTTGGAGCTTATCTTAGTGACAAATTGAAACAGTCTTACATTTATAGTTTTGTATTTTAAGCAATCTGTGAATAAACAGACAAAATGGTAAGAGTAATACCAACTGCAAGTATTGAAGAATGCTAAATTTGAAGGAAGGTTTGATTTCCCCACTACCCTCCCAAGCTAAATAGAATAAAATAAGTAACAGTTCTTAATGGTTGAGCTACTGTGGTAAAACATGAAGTGCCACCAAACCAAAAATACCTAAAGGAAAGAAACAGGTGGTGGGACAAAAAAACCAACCCTCCAGCTTAAGTATATCTGAAAATACAGTAGAAGCAAGAAGATGTGGTGGCTGCCCTTAAGTTGTATGGAGTTCAGAATTAAAAGCATGGTAAAAGAGTAAAGAAGTTTTCAATTTGTTTTCCATCAGTTGTTACTATAGAAGATAATGGGGAAATTTAATTTTCCACTGGCACTCTTCACAGGAAATCAGAATGTGGCCTTAATAGAAATTGAAGACTTATTAAGGAAGTTAAAGAGCAATTTGAAAAACTCAAGTGATGTAAGTACCGAGGAGAGATGCTATTCATTTGAAGGTTCTGAGGAAATAGTGACAGACAAGAATGTACAATACGAAGCCTGAAGCCCTGTGGGACCACTTTTGCTATTTGAATGAGCAAGTAGTGAAAAATTTTTTTTTGCTTTGTGAGAAACTCATTTCCTGTAAAAGTAGATTATGGCTACATTGATTCATGTTTCATCACCACCCTCAGATTGGATCATTATAGTTCGTTATACCAGCGAGTAAAGGTGACAAACCTCAGGTTCTGTGCAATGCAGCAGTCTAGCCATGGGCTGGAGAAAGTACCGAGAATGAGCAGCAGTAGAGCACACTGAACTACTGAGCTTCTAATGAAACAGAAAGTGATGTCCTGGAGATGTCTGTATACAAAAGGAGATAGTCTAAGCATCAAAAATATCTCATTTTCATAGTAAATTATCAGTACTCTCCGCCTAAGCAATGAACTTAATATTTGAATGCTAGTAATCTGGTATACCATAGAAAGATTACAGTGCCAGTGTTTCTGTCTGAACAACTGACTAATCCAGAGTGTTGTCTTTGTGTAAATGCACTGAAAGTACTCTTGCCAAATCTTGGGCATTGACAGTTAGTAATGCGTCATCTGTAGAGGATTACCTGAGACTCATACCTAGCACGTGACCCATCATGGGTTAAAGATACCACAAGTCTAATTGAGAGATTCTGTTACAGTTGGCCAGTTAGTCCTTTCTTAGCTCATAGGTGTTTCAGAGTACCTCTAGAGAGATTCTGTTGAGGTTTGACTCTACATTCAAGATTTATTTCTGGTTGTTTTGAGTGATGGCCTTAGGGTGGCTCTGCACTGGTAGCAGTCTGTAAAAGATCTCTGCTAGGCTACATTGCCCTAAATCTCTAGGAGGAACTTCAGGTAGTCATTGCCAGAATGGAAAGCAGAGACATCTCCAGATAAGATGTTTAGCTTCAGGGCAATTTTCCATAATTATTGCATTAGAAATTTTGGGGCATCATGAATCCTAAAGAGCACAATTTGTGCTTGGAAATAAGTAGTGTTCAGGTAAAGAGAAGGGTGTTGGATTGTATCCATTGTATCAGGAAGCCCAGGAAGTGCCACAACAGTGTTTGGATTCTCCAATTCTTTTAGGAAAGATTAGTATGTGCAACTGGTCCTTCAGTCAAGGAGCTGCACATGGGAAAAAAAAAAAAAAATCTTATTTTTGAAGAATGGAATGTGTTTTACATACACTTTTTAGCCACAGAAATTTCTTGTATCCATGACACTTGTCTCAATTTCATTCAAATGTATATCTACAGGATGCACTGGGGACATGTCTCTCCCAAGAACTACTTACTGTATGACCTTCAGTTACTTTGAGATACTTACTTGAACTGGACTATATTTTCTAGGGATTACTTATTTTTTTTTAATACATTAAAGTGTTACAACTTTCTAAAGATCTTGTCTCTAGTTTCTGCTGCTTTGGAAAGAGAGAGTAGGGACTAAATCTCTCTTTTTTTCTCCTCATGAGTTTGGAGAGAAGGTAGTGGTTTTGTTGTGTTACCCTGCTCTGCCACTTTTTTGTCTCCACTCTAATTTTTTTTTTTTTTTATCAGACCTTGGTAAATGCTTTCAGGCTATCCTAATCCTGCAAGAAATCTCTTTCCTGTCTTGGATCATCATCTTAGGTTCATACGGTGCTTGACAAAGAGAAGGGCAGATACACTATTTGTTGTGGCTTTGAAGCCCTGTGTCTCCAGAAATACCTGCTAGCTAAATCTCTGGGCTCTCTTTTTGAACTGACAAATGGAAATATTTTCTATCTGCCAAACTGTGTTCTTGTCTGTCTTCTAGATACTGTGTGTGAATTAGCTAAAGAATATTGTAAGTGGTGTATCTTTTCCTGATTTTTAGAGGGCTGCCTTGACCATCTCCTCTGGAGGGGTTTCATTCTGCAGATATATTGTCTGTACAGGCCTTAGGAGAAGTTCATCAAAGCATAGTTCCTGTGAAAATTACACATTTCAAGGGACAACTCTTTCACAAGGATTTTCAGGCATCTTGAACCCTGAAAGTAAAAAGAGCAGCAGTGAATTCTTCTCTGTTACATCAGAAAGCTCTTCATTCAGGTGAGGAAAGCCTGAGAGAAGAAATGGTTCTAGGAATGTTCTTCCTCTGCTGCAGAGCCTACTAATTGATCTGACTCTTATCTGCCTGAAGCTGCATCAGAGAGCTGCTTCAGTCATTTAGGATGTTACAACATTTTGTAAATTTGTAGAGTACTTTTGCCATCTAAGATCACCTTTGCTGCTGTTAGACTTCTCTCAACATCTGCAATCACATTGAGAAATGAGAGATTCTAGTGTCATGAGTCCATGTTGACTAGATAGAAATTCTTAATGTCCCTTTGCAGAAAAGCTTGCGTGGCATTGATTACGTCAGCAGCAGGAGAAAATACTGTTTATTGAACTCTTTCTTCCCTCCCCTCTCCTTTCTTTCCCATTGGAACAGTCTCTTTTCTCACCTGTTAATCTGTGGGGTCTTTTCTCAGTCAGCCGTTTCCTTCATTCTCCTCGCTGCCATGAGCAAAAAGACAGTGGTTTGACATTACTTTAAATAAATGGGAAAGTGTTGTGTTTTGTGGTGCAGACTTCCATTTTGTGGGACTATACTCCCTTTATAGTCATTGTTACTGTCTGTGACAATCATAGTTCCCTGTTCTGGATCCTTATGACTGCCCAGGCTATTTCTGCTATTTTCTGTGGTGTTAGGCCTTGCTTGCTTATTCTTGCCTTCAGGGAAAGGTGCTTCCTTGAGACACGAGCAGATTTTGGATTCTTTGTGAATATAACCCTGGTTGTTAAGACACTTTCTAAATATTTTGAATGTTTTTACTGTAGTAGTTGTCTAGTAATGCTGGCTTCTTTCCAGCCGACTCCACTATTTTGGAACTTTCACTAGTATTGGGGATTGTGATTTTCTTTATTTCTGTTTTGCTCCCTTTCTTTACTGCTGTACCTGACGTAGAACCATGTAGCATACTTGGTTATTAGGAGTCATCTTGGTTGGGGTGATGAGGTGGGGTTTTTTTGTTGGTGGTTGGTTTATTTGTTTTGTTGGTGATGTTTTGGTTTTTTCCCTCCCAAAAACAATCTAAGGGGCTGTAGAGAAACTTGTACAGATGATAGGGTGGAGTTGAGGTCATGCACAGGAGAACACTGTGGAATTGAGGTCACTGTGTCAGTTCAGGCATGTGCCTCTCTCCCTGAGTTATGTGTCAGTCTGATTTGAGAAAGGGATTTTTGTTTGTTCTTTTACCACTGTTTTCTATTGGTCTTCTGCATGTTCTTACTAGCCATCTTGTTTCTGTGCTCCTAAATACCACAGCGTGTATTTTCAGGAATCTGTCTGCTGACAAGGTCTTGTGAGGAGGTGAGCCACTCATCAGAATCATTTGTCCCCTTGGGAAAGTCCAAGAGGAATTTACTTTTTACTAACAAGAGGGAAGGCAACAATTCGGTATCATTACGCTTTTAGTATTGCATGATGACATAAGTTTTGATACTTCTTTTGAGGATTAAATAGTAAGTTTGGCACAGGCAAAATAAAGAATGATACTCACATTTTGTGGAAGGTCCCATGATACTTGCTCTCCTTGATTTGGCGTGTGCGTGGTGTGGTATTGTGTCACATGTAAATGTATGTATAGGTAAATGCTCAAAGAAAGAACTTCCTTAGCAGTAACTAGAGTTCTTTGAGATCATCTCTGTGTGTACATTCACTAACAGTATGGCTACTGTCTTCTCATTTTTTTTCAGATGTCTGTTTGAGAGGAACAGGGTTTGAGGGTTTCTTGCACATTCTTTTATTGTCGTGTAAGAAGGAGCTCAGGGCACACACGTTCACAGTTGTGACTTTACATGTGAACAGTTAATCTTGGAAAAAAAACCTAGTTGCTGGTAATCTTCCTTGTGTTGTTGTTGGAGGTGTATGATGCTGCTGGTAGAGGTGGGTGGGGTGAGAATTTTTTGGTTTTGATCTATTGGAAGGAGCCTTTCCCAGAGCGTGACTACAGTGCTCATTAAGAGTACATCTCCTTCCTTTCTGGTTCAGGATGTTCTTTCAGACTGTGTCCCATGTACAAGGGATTTCTCTTGTGCAGTATTCTTTTTTATGTACTTTTGGTCACTTTGAGTTTGTCAGAAAGAGGAACTTTTGCTGTTACAGTGTAAGTTTTACTTACTTATGCTGCTTCCTTTAAACATTGACTGCTCTGGAAACTACAGACACAGATATATTTTGGTTTGCTGCTTTTTAAGACTAAAAGATTTTTGTCAACTTCACAGCCTTTTGCCAGCCATAAATCAGTGTGTCTACAGACTCCACACAAAGATATAATATGAATCTTGATTGTGTTTTAAGGACTTAGAGATTTGTACCATGGTCCTGTGATTTGGACAAAGGTAAAAGATACTGCCTTTTGGTCTCATTCATACCTACTTTTCTTCATTATGTGAATGGATATTTCCTTGATGGCAATATCATTGTCTTTGACAATAAGTGAGCTCTGGCTCTGTAAACTGGACCTACCTTTAATCCATATCTTAGTGGATTTTAAAAGGTAAGAAGTCTTCTGAAAGTGCTGACTGATTCTCAGTGTATACTTTTTTAGATGTAAGTGTTCAAGTGAGATTTTTTTCCCAAATACCAATATTAAAAGTCTTTAATTCTGTTTTGCCACTGTATATAAAAGAACTAGCAAATTCTGTATTCTGTTGTGGAGATGCGCACCACCACCCCAGCAATACAGAATTAATCCTCAGCTTGTATTCTGTGAATCAGGACAGTAAATTCTGCTTTTCCAGTATTGTATAAAGCATTCTTTAAGTTGAGTTTCAAGAACAGGATTTTCTCTAATTGGTAAATATTTGTTGAGGTGATGTCTAGATTGTCAGGTTTCTATACTTTTTTTTTTGGTATTATTTTATTTTCCCATTACTTGGAAGTTCTAATAATACTGACTTACTTATTCTTGTACATTGACTGCTAATGATGTTAATTCTTCTAAATTATTTCATAAGCCCTGGAGATGTCAGCTGTCATAATACATTTTGTAGGAAGGGGCAGTCTTGCTGGCCCAGACCTAGCAGAGGGATGTCTGCAAGATCTTCAGTTTCCAGATGCGTCATTGTATGAAAATAGCTGCGTTGCTTCCATAGCTAGCAGGCACACTAGGTTTGTGCAGTGCTTGTCTCGAAATAGTAGGTCCTACCAGAACTTGAGTATGTTGGAAAGTGCAGATGTAACCAAGCTAGCTGTGCAAGAGCTAGCTCAGGTCTCAGGTCCACAAGTGGTACATTTCAGTCCAGCTTTAATCAAAAGAAACAAAAGTATTTGATTTTTGTGTTTGAAATTGTGATTTATTTTTCACCATGTGTGTGTGTATATATATATGTAAGGTAGTTTTATATTTAACATAATGACTTGATTGAATGGATTAATTTTTAAGATGAACTGTATCTTCTTTTCCTAGCATTTCTTAAGGATTGCAAGCCAACTTGGTTAAAAAAGTTTCAAATTTTATTAATCTCTCATGTTTAGCTGTTCATGCTTCAGGTGAAATGAAGGTGTGCCCAAAATATAAGTGGAATAAAATCCACGTATATCAGTCTACCTGGTATATAATGAGGGTGGACAAAACATATATAATTAGGCCTTTTTAGAGACTGTTCATAGAGTTCTAAGTGGTGCCATGTTAAGAGTTCATGTGAATTGCACTGTTAATAGGCATCCTTTCAGAAGTACCAATTAATTGTGAAAATAGGATTTTTTTTTTTTATTTTTTTTTTGTAAAATTAGTAGCATTAGGTTAGCAGATAAAGTTGCTTTTCTTTCAGTTTTGGTACTAATTGCATTTAAAGGGAGAAGGAAGACATGCAGGAACAGTGTAAATATTCTGCTTTAACAGATAGCTGTCTAACATGGCATTTAAGTTGTGATTTTATTTTTTTTTTTAAGAAATTTATTTGGCATTATGTCTGATCAAAATGTACAATGCAATACTAGTTAATTAACTATGTTCAACAGACTAACTTTTAAGTTTGACTGAATTAAAATGTCTCTTGCCACTTTGGTGCATAAACAGTTTCTAGGTAAGAGAAGTAAACATCGAGCTTCCTGGAATCCTGTTAAGAAAGGTTAATGCCTTTTAATCTTAGTTGGTTTTAAGCTAGTAGACAGTAAGATGGATAAATATCTAAACACTGACCTTGCTTTAAAATAAATGAAAAAAAAAAAAAAAGTTGTGCAACCTGTATGGTGTATTTTTTAAATAAATTTACTCCCTTTTCTAGGCCTTAGATGGTCAAAATATTTATAATGCTTGCTGCACCCTACGGATTGATTTTTCCAAATTGGTGAATTTGAATGTCAAGTACAACAACGATAAAAGCAGGGACTACACTCGTCCTGATCTTCCATCTGGTGATGGACAGCCAGCGCTGGACCCAGCTATTGCTGCAGCATTTGCAAAGGAGACCTCTCTTCTAGGTATGATTCTGACATTGTCTTTTGTATTGCAAAGTCACTTGATGAAAATATTTATTAATCCTTCTAACAATTAAAGATCTTAAATTGCAGTAGTGTCCAAAGGCACATTCAGAGTTCAGTCTATATTGTGATCTGAACTGTAGCAACACAGTTATATTGTTTAGAAGTCCTGCATAAATGGATGAGAGAATGTGTGAAAAAAGGAGAAATGTACAAAGTATAAGGAAAAGTCAAGTTAGTTCTACTTCTATTCCCAAATCTGTCCTCCCTTCTTTCATGTGTTCCTGTCAGCTGCTACTGCCTACCTTCTCACCCAAGTCTGTAACAGAAACTTAACACAACTTAACATAATGTTTTGTTCATGCCAATACTTATTTGCGATATCAGATTATGAAAATAACATTTTGTTGGTTTCCTTCAGTGAGGAAATATTGTTATTTGCTTAAAAAAAAATATATATGCTGGTCTGTGGTTTCTGTAAATAAAAGGAAAAAGTTCTGTAGTTGCACTTCTAGTGCTATGGTGCATGAGTTCTAATATCCTGTCAGCTTTTGAGTTTATCAGAAGCAGCAGGTGAAATGCTCTGAGAAAGATACAGATAAATGTATCTTCTGACTGTGGGCAAAATAATTAATGTATGCTTTGGGAGAAATTTGTGACTTGTTTTTTTTAATTTATCAACATTCATTGCATAAGTTGCTGTTCTTTGTTGAGAATACCTTTCGCTCTTCAAAATTCAATAATACTCAGACATAATCTCATGACTTTTATAAAACCTGTTTTATGTTGTGATCATTGTTCTTCCCACTTAGTCTTTTTTCTTTTTTTTTTCCTTTCATCATTTCCCATTTTTCTTTTAAAGAAAACTTAAGAACAACATAGATTTCATGCCTTGTTTTTTGTACAGGATGGGCCAACTTGAGTAATTCAGAGTTAATGTAGTAACGAGGGGCCTCTGCTCTCTGTGTGTTACAGAAGTTAGAAGGCACTTAGTGAATGATGGGAGCCCAGGAAAAAGGTGAATATTGTAGTTAAGGCTACTGAATGCTGCTCTATATGTGCCCTTTTCCAAAATCAGATTACGTGAAGGATACGTTTCATATCGAGTTGTAAATTGCACAGACGTGGAATTCCCACAAATTTAGGAGTGCTTAACTTCAGATCCTCCAGTATGACTTGCATAATGGTGTATCACTTGTAGCTTTCCAAGTGTTGGAAAGTGAAAATACAATAAGAATCCAAAGCCTCTGAAGAACCTATAGCTTTTTTTTTTTTTTTAACTTCTCATTGTTTAAAAATTGAAATAGCTCATTTCATGGATTGATAGGGAAGATGGATGAGTGTTTGTGAAGAAGTTTGGCACCAGAGAGGTGAGTGCTGTAGAAATGCCCTTGAGGCAGTTAGTATTTCTCTTGTCAGCACGTAATGACTAGAACATAGATAGGGGTCTGCAGTATGTGTAGTAAGGAGACAAAAACAAAGTAAAGAAGCTGCTTATTAATATGAGACCCATCATATTAGATGTTGCAAGGCAGGGATTTAGGAGAGGAGAGAGATAAAGATTCCTGATTTATAAAACAGTGCCAAATGCAGCATTACTTATGTAACTCTTATTACAACATTTTCCTGAATACTGAGAAGTTGCTTTCCAGTCTCAGACTTACTAACATATTTCTTTGTTTATAATGCTTATTGTATGCATCAAATTAACAGGTTTAATTTGTTTTGCATAGTGGAATGACACTCTGAGGATGCTTGGATCATTGCATCACTTTGGATACATTTAATAATTGGGGTTACTATACTTGTTATTGTATCCAAGTGACTTTAGCTTTAGCAGGCTTCATGTTCTAGTGTTTTAGGATTGAAAGTCACTTCGATGCTTTTGTAATTTTTGTCTACAAAACTATTTAAGTTTCCTAACCTTTTGATTTTAATCAGACTGATTCTTTTGTGTATAGTAAAAGTTTATTGCTAGTAAAATTATGGAGATGACAGTCATATAAGCTAATTAAATATCTTAATTCTGACTCTTTGGATGGACCTATTTAAATGCACTGTTTTTCCAAGCAGCGGGAAAAGAGAAGGTGCACAGCATGGGTAACTTTAATTGCAGCTGTGAAATATTTTCAGGGCATTAGTGAAGTCAGTCATGTTTATTTTGATGAGCAGTATAGATTATGTATCCTGTTTTGTTTTTTTCCTCTCTAGAAACGTTCATTGTTTTGAAAGAGACTCAAGGGAGCTGGGTACATTTTCTAACTGTTCATGACCAGTTGGCTGAACTTGGTACATTGTAACTGCATCATCTGTCAAATGGTGATGATTATACAGTGGTCTGTTTTTGTTGTTGTTTGGGTTCCCCCTCCACTCCCCACCAGTTGCCTTTTTTTGTTTGTTTTTGCAGGTTTGAGCTCTATAACTGAAAAGCTTTATAAAAAGCCTCCATAGTACTGTTGGTGTCCTTAGCCATTTGAATAGGTGTCAGAATGGGAATGGTGCTTGTTTGAATGTGGAAGAACAGGGTTCTTATTCTGGGCTGCTTACTGTGCAAAAAGACACAAAATATACGTGACATAAATAAGAAAGGATAAATGATAGAAAAAACTCACAAACCTAAATGGACACTTGTGCTTGCAACTTTTATATATTTTATAGCTGCATTTTTATCCAGGTACTCAAAAGAAGGGTGTGAACACTTAAAAGTTCAGAGAGTTATAAGATGGAGTTTGGCAAACTGTGACTTGTGAAGTACAGCAGAATAATAGCAGCCACCTTCCTCCTGCTTTCTTTTATCTTAATATTTTATTTCCTTTTATTTACTTTAGAATTCTTATTTTTATAACGTCGATAAAGATAAGTTCAGAGTGTACTCAGGGCGTCTTCCATGCCATATTCACAAATGGTTCCAAAGGGTCATGTTTCTCCATGAAAAGAGTGGAGCCCCATTTTCAGATTAATGTGATGCTCTTCAGGTTTACTTGTGTGCTCAAAAAGAGTACCATAAGTTGAACCTGTGGCATTCTTGTTAAGATTCTTGCTGTAGCTGTTCTCATATATATATAATGAGATCACTAACAGAAAATGTGGTAAGGACTCAGTTCTGACTTTTGCTTATGTTACACTATTACATGCTGTATAGTTGTACAACTTGGGTGCCTTTTTGTTGGCCTTTTAACAGTATACTGTAATTCATATGTCAGAAGTGAGGTTTAAGCTTAATCATCTTTGTGGCTCTGCGCTGGACTCTCTCAAGCAGTTCCCTGTCCTTTTTGAACTGCAGAGCCCAGAACTGGACACGATATTCCAGATCCAGCCTCACCAGGGCAGAGTAGAGGGGGAGGAGAACCTCTCTTGACCTACTAACCACACCTCTTCTAATACACTCCAGGATGCCATTGGCCTTCCTGGCCACAAGGGCACAGTGCTGGTTCATGGTCATCCTCCTGTCCACCAGGACCCCCAGATCCATTTCCCCTACACTGCTTTCCAACAGGTCTGTCCCAGCCTATACTGGAACCTGGGGTTGTTCTTTCCCAGATGCAAGACTCTACACTTGCCCTTCTTGTATTTAATTAAATTTCTCCCCACCCAACTCTCCAGCCTGTCCAGGTCTCGCTGGATGGCAGCACAACCTTCTGGTGTGTCAGCCACTCCTCCCAGCTTTGTATCATCAGCAAACTTGCTGGCTCTGTTCCCTCATCCAGATCGCTGATGATTGATAATCATAACAGAAATTGTTCTTATTTTTATTTGTTAAAAATTTTTACTTGCTTGAATCAGAATGGCATATCAGAATACAGTGGAGACCTACAGAACAAGAATTGTGTTTTCTGTGGGTTTGTAATTTGTCTGACCTTTCCAGCAAATGAGGCCTGTGTGCTATGTAATCAGTTGGAAACATATCAGTCAAATAGATGATCCTAGCCCGCATGCATCATTTCTCGTTCATCTACTATGTCCTCAGCTGTGATGAAATAAGGTGTCAAATATCTTTGAGACTGTAAATTGGACATCTTTTCAATGAGTCTTGTTATCTTTTGAAAGAAGGAGAAAATCACTAATGGACAGAATGGGCTGGTTTCAAATGAATTATCAGAAACAGATGGTTGATTTTCTTTTTTTCCTTTTTTTTTTTTTCACCTCACATATGAAAAGATATACACATTCTCCCTCTTCCCTCAAAAAAGTTACAGGAGATCTTACGGGGAAAAAAACCTTTGAATAAACAGCAACTGTGTTATACTGAACCACAAAACCCAAAATATCTTAAGTAAGAACTAATAATTACAAATACTAATAGGTAATAATACTTCAATTTAGATATTTGTTTACTATTACAGCTGGAAATATGTTGTTGTGGTTAGACTCTCACAGCCTTATCCCTTGCTGTTGTTGCTGGCTTTCTTTATTAGCACTTTCCACTGATGCCCCTTCTTAATATTCTTATTAAATTAATCTGTTTCAAAGGATAATCATTGAAAATATTTTTGTATGGGTGGTGTTGAATTAAATTTTTGTTTTTAACTTCTTCAGTGGGACCAAAGAATGTCCTATAGAGAGTCTGATGCTATGAAGATTTTTGCCTTTTAAAGTACAAATTACTGAGCTAATGTTCTGCCCAACTATGGAAAGAGTCATAAAAACATTACTAGTCATCTTTAGATTCATTTATTCCTAAAAATGCTGCACTGGTTTAAAGCTTGTGAGGTGAGGGAGAGATGTGGTTTAAAGCTTGTGAGGTGAGGGAGAGATGCCCAGACACACTAGAAGATTTGAAATGCTCTAGTATCTTGGCATTTTCTAATACCTAAATGATTGCTGTTGACCTAGTATAAAGTAAGTTGTTTCCCTTCAGGTGAACAGCTATCACACCTTCCTGTCATTCTTCACATTTCTGTCAGTGTGACTGCTATAGTAGCTGAGTGTAAATCGATGTGACATTCAGCATATGCAATACAAAGCACTCAAAAGTACAATTCCAAAACAATTTTTTAGAACAGAACTATATTTTTTCTAAAGTTATTTTGAGGAGTTTAATTTGATATTCACAGTTTTCCCTGTCTCATTTTGGGAATAAACTTCTTTACTTCTTCCACAGTGGTACTTTCTTTAAGTGCACCCTTTATTAATTGTTTTTCTTGAAAGTAAAGCTATATTCTTCAGCTTTAACCTGAGAGCAAAATATGCATCATATTTATGTTAGTTTTTTGTCTTGCTATTAATAAACGTAAGTATATAGTGTTACACTTTCCTTTCACACAAAATAAATTTTGAGAAACAACTGTTGTGCATGGACTAGCAGTGGTCCATCTAATTTCATATCCTTTCTCTGATAACTAGTGTACTTCTGCCTTCTCTGATGGAAGACCCAGTGCAGCCCTCCTAATGGATGATCATACAGTAGCATACCTGGGGGGTGTGCTTTCCTAACCCCCAGGAAGCTAGTGCTTGGCTTACATGATGAAGCATATAATGTCACTTTATTGCCTATTTAATGTAGCTGGCTGTTGTTTCTATAGACCATCTAATACATCTCAAATCTGTTAAGTATTTCTGCAGAATGGAACGGCGAAAGACAAGATAGGATTTTTCCTTTTTATGTATTACAGTCAGTCCCACAAATACCACATATGCAATAAAAGATCATATTTGTTGCATTTTGATTCAAGTTGATTGTGAGAAATTACTAGAATTGTCGTTACTCAGAACTGTCTATTCCTCTGGTTTGACCCCCGAATACTGACATTTTTAATCTTTTAAACTTTATTGAAAAGCATTCCATATTTTTAATTTCCTTTCTTAGAACACTTTTTTCCTTCTGTATGTGCTTTGACAGGAAATGACCAGAAAATATTTCTCAAGGCTTGATCAGTAATACTGTTAAGCACTATCACAAAGTAGTGATGGATGTACTGTTTCCTTTGAGGGGTCATTTGTCCAGCCCAACAAAATTTTTCTGTTCCCCCCCCCCCCCCAATTGTTTTTCCACATATTTGTGTAACAGTAATTAAGATAGATATCTTTTATAGGAAATTAAAAAAAAATTGAAACCTTGCTTACTTGGCCCCCCTTCTGCCCCCCTTTGTGTTTCCTTTTGATACTAAATCTGGGATTATTCTTTTTTTAAAATTAAATGTTGAATATATTTACTCTTATCTGCTTAGTACTTGGGCACTGATGGAAACCAAGTAATTTATTTTCTCTTATGACTTCCTTTAAAATAAAACTTAATGTGGGAAGGAAAGTAGTCTTAGGTACATAGCATAAAGGTTATATTTAGCCTGTCTACCTGGGAAATTGGTCAAAAGTTGTAGTAGTTTAGCATGATCATACAAACAGTAGAAATTCTGCCAGAATACTGAAATCTGAGAACCCAGTTGCAGTAAAAGAAAATACAATACTGAAGTTAATTTCTTTATTGTTTTTTACATATTTTGCTACATCAGTGTCCTTTTACTGAACTCTGTGCAAGTAAATTTTTTATCAAATACAATAAAGCTGTTTCTATATAAACAATGTATAGTGTGTATGTATCACAAGAACCTTTCACAGATCCTGGGAGTAGCACACTCGCCTAGTACCCCAGTGGCTCGACCAGGCAAAACCAGCAGGTCTCTGCAGGATCTGAGTTTCCTTGGAGGAAGAAAAAAAAAAAAAGCATAGCTGAAGGTTTAACCAATGGTAACATGCTTGTTCAGGGAACTGGATTACAAAATCCGCTGAGCATAATCAGTGGTGCTACCTTGAATCTTGAATTTAGAAGGTTGCCTCCTCACCTCATTTATGCCAAGGCCTTTTCACATGACAACTCCAGTGTTGTGTATTTAGTTTGAAGCATCAAGTTGAAGTGAAGGGATGCTTCTCAAAGAGTGTTGGAAAATAAGGATGTAATCATGCAGAGAACACAATTAGTGTTTATTCTTATTGATTTATCAACATTTACTTTAGACCATTTTGATAAACTAGACACTATAAGCATTTTTAGAGTACAGTGGGAAGTTTTGGTGTACAAGAATGTTCATTTGAAAAGAAAGTACTTTTTACACCTCATCACTTCTTTCAAGACTTGATCTGAATAAAAAAAACCTTCACATTTCCTTATGTTAATTAACAAACCCACTTCACAACCCTTTGGACGACTTAAACAGTGGAATAGTCTGCTTTGTAGAGTGTTGTATGTAACACTTGTACTGATATAGGTACTTTTTTTAAGTGACTTGTGTGTGTTTCGTAAAATACGCTTTATTTTAAAATTAGGGCTTCCTGTTGCAGCTGTTCCAGGAGCTCTGAGTCCTTTGGCTATTCCAAATGCTGCTGCTGCAGCTGCAGCTGCTGCTGCTGGCCGTGTGGGAATGCCTGGAGTTTCGACTGGTGGCAATACAGTCCTCCTGGTTAGCAATTTAAATGAAGAGGTCAGTAAAACAATTTTACTTTGTTTTCCGCTTTAGTTGCACTTCATTTGTCAGTATTTTATAATTTCTTTGCATTTGGCCTCTTACATTTGGATTTCAAGCTCAAAGTATTTTTGCTGTTTTTTTTTAATAATCCCCTAAAGTTAATTTTAAAGCCAATATTGTTAAATACTTCTGTTTTCCCAGGTAGCTAACAACTTAAAATGTCCTTTGATAGTCGGCTACCTATTTTTTCTAAGAAAAATGTGGTAACTACTGCACGTTTGACATTTGATTGAAAGCTTTATTTTTACAAAATAGCAACTATGCTTTCTTTTGCAATTATAATCATGTAAACTAAAATTTCTGTTTCTTCTAATTGTTTGCTGATTCATTTCATGCTTGTATCTCACATTTTAAGGTCTTAATTTATGTGAACTACTCTAATACATTTTTCTTTGAAGGTTCTCCCAAAGATCTTGACGAGGCACTCTTCCAGTCTCTCTTAGTAATTTTTTTCTTTGCAGTTACTCATTTGTCTTTAAAAAATAATAATTAAAAAATGGTGGCAAAGCATTTTCACCTTAACTGTATCTTTCTTGCTAACTCTGAAATCTAAAGGGGTTTATTTAGTTTTGCATTTTTACTGTCCTTTACATTTATTTTGATGGCTGTGAAAGCTGGTATGAAATGTGGGAAGTTTGTATCAGTCTAGCTGTTCCATTTTTAACTGGCCTCTGTCACTGTAAATCATTAAGCTTTTTTTATCATCTGGTACTATTTTGTCATCCACAGTCTTGCATGTTAAAATGTTTTAGATCAGAGTGCCATTTTGAAAGATTCTTTGCCTGCATTTCATAACCAGCCATGCTTATGCAGTTAAAGTTCGAAGTTTAAAATTTCTATTGCATGCTTTTTTTTTTAATTTATTTTCATGTTGAGATGAAATAGTGTAGTTTACTCTTGATATGAATGTACTTTACCCATATTTGTCTTGGGTGACTACATTTTACTCAGTTTTTCTTGTACAGTACATAAACCAACCATTTTCTGACCAAATTCCTGCATTTCCTATGTACTGACCTATATTTTATTTTTTTTTGTTCCCCAATTCCTTATTTTTTTTTTCTTCTGCATTGCTGTATTCCCTTCCCCATTTCATCCTTTTCCCTTTGTGTTCAACTTCCCTTTCCTTGTCTTTACCCAAATTCCCATGCCCTTCCCTGTTCTACCCTTCTCCTTGTCTTTGTCTACGTTCCCTGTCTTCATTCCCTATGTTCATGCTTCTGTGCTTGAACAAAATGTTCCTCGGACCAACTTGCCCCAATTAACCGCCTTGAAACCATGATCCATGACCACCTCACCATTCTGCGGGAACCACCCTTCGTTATGGATGATCTGTTCATCTCCGCTCTTCCTCGACTCTTCTCTCTTCTTGTCTTACGCTGCTTGCTCTTCTCTCCTTCTAAAGATGGTTACGCCCCAAAGTCTGTTTACCCTCTTCGGTATGTTATTGTTAGCACTATACTTTTATTATTGATTTGATTTTGTTTTGGTTTTTTTTTTGTTGTTGTTTTGTTGTTTTTTTTTTTTTTGTTTCACCTTGATTCTTATTTGTAGCTAGCACTTTGGCTTAAAGTTGAATAGTAAATCTTTTTGCTATTTTTCTTTTGCTGTTTAAAACTCTCCATAGACACAGATTTTCTTTTAATGCATGCTAATATATTTTGCATGGTCTTTAATTTAATATCATTCACATAGCTTTGAGGGTTTATCAGAAATTATTCTTTTCAAAATTCACTATTCAAAATCTTTATCTCCTTTATTCATTAGTGAGAGTGTTGAGTTTGAGCGAGTGGTCTTGTTGCTGTCTGAATGTTCCATTGATATGTCGAAATGTATTACTTAGGTGGCTGGCTTTAAAATGAACTTTTTCTTTTGGGTTACCTTTGACTTTGAAAAGGTGTTTATGGTGATGTGCAGCGTGTGAAGATTTTATACAATAAGAAAGACAGTGCTCTTATTCAGATGGCTGATGGAAACCAGTCACAGCTGGGTAAGATTAGTTTTCCGTTTATATTCCCATTAGTCTAAGTACTTGAAATTATGCTGTGTAAAATTAGGTGAACTAGGAACGTTTACATTTGTCAGTTTGTCTTGGTATCCTGGTTACCCATAAGATCCAAAATCTTAACTGCAGGCACTTGTATTCCAGAAGGTCTGCACAGTGTCCTAAATACATTCAACAGCCGAATCACATGTGATGGTCTTTAAATAAAATTACTCATGCAGAATCTACAAACCTAGTCCTTGATTCCAGTCTTTTAGCACTTTGATCCTTTTGATTTTCTTGGGTGTTTTTCTTGGTTGCTTGTGTGATGTACCACAAGCTATTGAAAAGTAACACTGAATTGAGAAAGCTTCCTGTATTTTTCAGCCATGAGCCATCTTAATGGACAAAAAATGTATGGAAAGATTATTAGAGTTACCCTTTCTAAACATCAGACAGTACAACTGCCTCGAGAGGGACTTGATGACCAAGGGCTGACAAAAGATTTTGGTAATTCACCTCTGCATCGCTTCAAGAAACCTGGTTCAAAAAACTTTCAAAATATATTCCCTCCTTCTGCAACACTTCATCTGTCTAATATTCCGTAAGTGTTGACTGTCAGAAAGCCAGTAGTATAAATGTGACTCACATCACTCTGATTTGACTAATAATTTCTTGCTTATGCTTATTTTCTTTCTCTCTGTAGACCATCAGTAGCAGAAGAGGATCTGCGCACGTTGTTTGCTAACACTGGAGGCACTGTGAAAGCATTTAAATTTTTTCAGTAAGTAACTTTTCTGTACATAGCTCTAACAAAAGACTGCCTAAGGGTGTTTTTGCAGCGTGTCTTAAGGAAAAGTGCATAGAGGATAGCAAACATTAGGAGCAACCCCTGTAGTGTTCAATTCCTAATGCCGTTATTTTGTTTCAGAAGAGATCACAAGATGGCACTTCTTCAGATGTCAACAGTAGAAGAAGCTATTCAGGCTTTGATTGATCTTCACAATTACAATCTGGGAGAAAATCACCATCTGAGAGTTTCTTTCTCTAAGTCAACTATTTAAAAAAGCAGATTGAAAGTGAGGGTGTATTGCATTGTTTGGTGTTGTCAACTATTGACTGTTCAGGAAAGTGGGGACCAGAGTTTGTCTTTTGTTGGTTTTTTTCAATTTTTTTTTTTTTCATGCTGTTATCATTCCTTCGTTGTTTTAAAAAAATAATAAAAAAAATGTAAAAAGCAGTGACACTAACTGCTGTTGTTCAACTGTTGTTTAGGTAAACCATCATTTTGTTTAAAAGATTTCAAGTTAATACCACAGTTTTTCAACTTAGTTGAAGTACGTGCCTTAAAAAGGAAAACTAGTACTGCTGGAATTGCATAACTAGTAAAAAGCAAATTTGGTTGTCTAGGGCACATTGTTACATGATAATTTAAATATGTTTAGACAGGGGTGTGTAAAAAGGTTAAGCTTTTGTTTCTCTGGCTTGATAGATTTCTTTATCTGCTGGCTTGTCACTTATTTTTCTCTTTAATTGGATAAGATGCGTTATGCCGAAAGAGTAAAATGACGTTATTTGATTTGTGCTACTTTTTGTTTGTGCCCTTTTTTTTAAAAAGGCCTTTTATATTTCATGGTTCTGGTCTAGATTCAGTTATGAATGTAGGCATTAGTTAAAATTAACGAGGTACAGTATATTAATTTCTTAAATGACAAAAAATTACTTCTGTGACTGAGCCCTACGTGAAAAGCATTGTGGAATCTTAACCTTTTTGTACACACTCTTGTGGGATGTATCATATAAATGTCAGCACTAAGTAATGTCTTGTTTGTGGCTGAATATTTTTTCGTAGATGTTTTTGAAGTTGACATGACTTATGTGCATTTCAATATATATTGCCATCTTTAGTTTGTAATTAAGATATGGAATATGGTTGTGGATTTCTGAGCATGTACAGACTGGTCAAGCTAGTTCAGGAGACGGTGCATGTATTTTTCAATGATGAAGAAAGTTTGCTGCAAATGCTCGCAGGAAATTTTGTGGCAGTTTTCTAAAACTGACAACCAGGTGGGACCAAAGTTTATGTGCCTTTAGTCTTAATTTACCTTGCATTGTAATATTCAGTTTTAATAAATCTCTTCAAAATATTTTGTATTTAGAAATTGATCTGACTTTACTATAAACATGGCTCAGAATCTACAGATCCAGTTTATTTGAAAGCAGTTCTCTGTCATTCTGAACTGTTACCTTGATTCTGTTAAAATGACCAATACTTTTTGAAATTGATGTACTTAAGTTTCAAGATTCATAGATTCTGTTAGCTATGTAGAAAAAAAAAATGGTCATGTATATTTTCTATTAGTTGAGTTTTTACATCTTTAGAATTGTAAAATTCAGTATAGTTTGAAAGTGGCACAATTAAAAATTAATTTTCTAACAAAGTTGGGAGGTTTGATGGTTGTTTAATTTCATTTTGTGTGTACTCTGCTTACCTCTGTAGCATGCTCAATAAACACTTCTGTAGCTCTGTATTCACCTTTTCTGTCTTTCTCTGCTGCTTTCTATCTCTCCTCTTCTTTGTTTTTCTCTTCTACTGTGCTTCTAAATTCATGTTTATTCTCTGCCAGGGTGGGAAAAGCATAATATTAAAAAATACAATTTAAGACTTTTTACCATAAATCTGATGCTGTGAAAAATACCAGCTCTTTATTTCAGAAAGATAGTGACCCCTTTGCAGGCGTATGTGCCTATTAAACATTTCCCACCCTGTTATAACTTACTGCTTTAAAGACATAACTTTTATTGTAGTTTGTTAGCACTCTCTTTCTATCTTTTTAGTTTTTAAGCAGATTTATGCACTAATAGATCTCTCGGGTTTGCCATGCTCTCTTGCTGCAGTTTCATCTTTCATTTTTTTTTTGTGTCTGCTAAAGATTTTCTACTAATCATACAGTATACTCATGGGTTAAAGTAACAAAGGTTTTAACATTAGATTAGTAGACAGTACACATACCAAACCAGGATATTTCACTTTTTCAGAGACCTAGGTTCAAATGAATGTAAAAACAGTTTGAGCACTTTAATAGAGTTTCTTCATATTACTTTGAACTGATTGTTGTGGGGTTTTTTCCCCTCAATTAGAAATAGGATTAAAACTTTTATATAATCCCCTTCTAAGAGTAACTGTATGACCCTGAAGCATTCCACTGGTAAAAGCTGTCAGTGTTCAGTTTGAAGCATTTTTCTGTTACTTCTCCAGTACAACTACTGTAGATTTATTGATGTCAGATTACTTTGTGACCTGATGTCTGTTCTTTCAGTTGGCTTTCAAATCAATAAATAGTTTATCAGCTTTTTAAAGGTCATGGTATAACATAGGGGGCTCACATTAGTCTTCACTACATTAAATAAAATGCATTAGGTTCTTACCTGTTTTATCAGAAATACATGCAAGGTACGACTTAAGGTATACTCCAGGTATCACAGTGATCACCCAATCTGAAATACTAGTAGAATCAGATTAATCCGTACATTAAACTTGTGAATCAACATATATGTGCAACTGAGGCACCCATATGCATTGATGTGACTGTCCCCTAATTGACTGACAGAGCTGATCTTTTAAATCTTTCATCTATATAGTATGATGTCCCATATTTTTGAAAGTAAAAAATGTTCATATTTCCTTTTGCATATCAGAGTGTTTCAGATAGAAATGTGAATTGAAATTTACCATTCCGTGGGTTCAGCTTGTGCCGAACTATTTCCACTCTAAAACATCTGTATCAGATAGCATACAGTGATTGCCATGTGTATAATTCTGAAATAACTTTAAGCATCTGCATTGCTTGAGCGTTTACAAATACAGGGTTTTTGTAAAACTGTAACTTACTCATCCCTTGCCAGGCTTACTTCCTTAAAAAGAAGTTTCTATACTTCTTTTCCTGTTTTGAGAAGTTCTGTGGCAAAAACCTCAAGGGAAAAAATATATATTGAATTTGATTTGTTATAAATTCAGTAACTTTTATTATGAAGTTATATTTGTATCAGCCAAAATTAAAAGTAATGATAGTCGTAATTGTCATGGAAGTGTTTTTTATGAACCTAGTGAAGAAAATCACTGTTCAGTTTTTGATACTTAATCTTTAAAGTGGTATCTCTTCAAAAAATACAGGTTTAATGTCCTCACTGCTAGAACTTTCAAAAGCTTGTTTTTCTTGAGATGGTACTGCATTTTGTATAGTAATTTGTACATTTTTGTTATTATAAAATGTAAATAAGTTTCTGTTGTATTTTTAGCTCTTTAGAATGTGAAAATGCAAAGCGTCATTTTTATTAAAATTTTACTAAAAATAAGGTTCATGAATAACTTCTTACACTTCATAGAATGTTAATTTTCAGATTACATTATTAGAACTTTAGCATAGGCATGTTGATACTCCAAACTCGAGATTTTTAAAATAATTCTAGTATTTTGATAGAAAGCAGTTGCTGATTTTTATTTTTTTTTAATGTTGTGAGTTGTTAGATTTTTCTCTAATGATTCTTTGATAAGGTCAAATGTCCACTGGCAAGTACAACTTGTAAACAAAGTAAAACAAAACCTGATAGCATTCTGACACAAAATTGCGACAAAACTTCAAGGTTGAGTGAATGCACTTGGAAGTGTTGCTGTGTGTTGTGTTTTAACACGTTATTAAAAGGTACCTTTCCCCTGCAGGAATAACAGCTCATATGACTATTTGTAGATGGCCATTTTTAATGTTTTACACTAATTTTCAGTTTTATAAGCCATCTTACAAAAAAATCCCTTTGATTCATTGAAGTTTCCTTATGTTTATTATAGTACGTTACAGCGTGAAAGCACCAATCAGACATTTGTCTGCAGTACTTAAAGCACTACAGTTTCACACCCTAGTTTACTCCAGATAATTTGTCTAATTCTGTACTTAGATAATAAGTAGTTCTGTTGAAACACTAGAGAAAAAAAACAACAACCCATAAGAATTACGTCTTTCTCTGCAAACATGTATATAAATCCACTATTTCATTTCAAGAAATGGTTTTCCTACTATTAAATGTTTTACAGTGAGCAAATCAAAAGATTTTATTGTGTTAGGTAGGATTGAGGCTGAAGTCTGTATCTGTTAGACCTTATTCCATTCCAGAGACTGAGACAACCTGAGACAAGTTGAGAGTTTTGCTGAAGTGAACAAATTTTCTTTGAAGTAATTTGGCAAAATGTCCCATCTCCTGAAATCCTGGTCTGTGTAGAAAGGGCTATGTAAGTAAGTTGTGAATGTGTTCAAGCTTGTATTTGAAGATAGGTTTTCTCAGGTCTTGGTCATACAACATCTGCAATATTTCTTACCTTCCTGGTCTCTTGGGAGCAGCTGCAGCCTGCTAGTGCAGTTCTCATCCCCACAGAGGCTAAGGAGAGAGACTGATTTTTCTGAAACAATGGGATTTGACATGCTATTTTCTACTTAATGGGCCTTGGTAAAGTTAATCAGTGGACTGCAGTAATCTAACTGTAGAGAATGATAATCTATTATAAATTATTCTGTTAGTCCTCAATTAGCTTGCTAGAACCAGTGACGAGGTTTCTGCTTTGCTGAGGAATTATATGCTACAAAAATGAAGCTTTAGAGATTAACTTGTTTGTTTTTTTTTCTTTCAATGTAAGAATTTGTTTAGAATTACCTAATCTGAGTCTCTTGAGCTTTGAAAATCTCTACAGTGCATCTGTGCACACGTGTGTGCATGTTTGGTCTCTTCAGGATGGTTAACAAAAGGAGATCGGTGAGTGCCTGCTTCACCTTAAAAATGTCATTTTTACTGCATGATACACCTTTGTTGTAATTTTCTGAGTTTACTGAACTTTTTCCTGATCAACAAACTGAATTTTGAAGAGGATTCTGTTGCTTTGTTTTAATCCTTTCAAAGTTTTTACAGCATGTAATGTTTAAAATCTACATTCTTTCCTGATTAGTTCTGCACTCAGGCAGCAAAGGAAAAGCAAAGAACTTTTCTACCTTGGGAAAATGTGAATTAAATGCAGATGGGTTTAAATACCTCAAAAAAAAAAAAAAAAAAGCTCAAAATAGCACTGCTATTATTGAAGAGTTCTGCATGTTTTATGAGTTTTAGCCCAGTTTCATAAGGAAATGAGACATGCATAATTGCACTGTCTCCGTGTGAATGTCCTGTTCCCTAGGTAACCCCCTGTCTCCCCCTTGTCACTCCTGCACCCTTTTGCTGGTTTCCTGTCAGACCATGGGGGTCTTGTGTACTAGGGTGTTACTGTTTCCATGCTCATGATTAGTTGGCTTGCTAGGTCAAAGTCCTTACTTTCAGTGTTAACAGGAAAGTGAAGGAAAAAATCTGCTGCCTTCTCCTCTTTTGTTTTGGCAGGCATTATCAAATTAGTGTGCATGTAGTTCTCTTAACAGCCATCAGCTTGTGAGGTAGCAGACATGGCGAGGCCTGGGGATACTGGGTGAAGTACACAAGAAATTGGAAGGAAGGAACATTTTGCAGCTGTATTGAACAGAGGAGTGTTGAGGGAGTTTCCATATATCTCTTCAAGTTGTTTTTGTGCATAAAAGCCCTTAAAAATTGGTGGTAAGGGGAGAGTTATTGGTTGAATTATTTTGGGTTGTTACTTTACAAACAAGTCTGGTCAAAATCAGTACAGCTTGTGGGGTAAATGTGATATATTTTCACTTCCTCTCAACAGGTACGGAGGCATCACAGCTTAGCAACTGCCTGCAGACTGCTGTGGAAGCTGGTTTTTCCAAGATGTGTACTGATCATCCCTGGAAGCCAGTGAGACTGAAAGCCTGAGGCCTTTAGCTCTAGGATAGGCTACGTGTCAGGGTAGTTTAGGATGATTGACACTGATGGCTTGCCAAAGAGCTAGATAAAGCAAGCCAGCAGGATCTAGTAAGATTTGTTAGAGGAGTCATCAGAAGTGACACATGTTGGAACTGATGGTTTTTTGATGAAAAAACGTCTAATGTAAAATTTCTGACCATCTGTATTCCATGGAATGGTGTATCTTTTGGTGTATCTATCTCCAGTATCTTTTGGGCTGACCCTATCCCCTTTAGTTCCTCAATGCCTTGGGCTTACCCCTTGCATTATCAGCATCCTTTGAATTTTTCAGTTGTGCAGCCAAAATCATACTGGACTTGCCTGCTCTGTTCTGAAGCAAGAGAAGTTTCTTGGCAGCTACACCTGACAAGCACCAGTGATTTGCTGCATGTGGTGGGGCACCAGCATTGCTGCTGTTTTAAAGCATTGACAGTCCTCAGCTAGTAAATAGTCACAGTGCTCTGCCAACAAAGTACTCTCTTCAGCTTGCTGTGCTTTGGTGTCTGAACATTAATGTTCAGGTATTGACTTCAAGGTAACGGGTATATTTTTTGTGAACAAGGGT